GAAGAATCAAACTCGGGTTGGCCATGTTGGCTGCGTGCAAGGCAAACGCTCTGCCCGCTGTGCTATAGCCCAGCCCTGTAGGAGCATCAGTGAAATATCTGTACAGCAGAATGTATTTCTCTATCCCTTCTCTCTCTCTCTTTTGCTCTCTCTATTCTCTCCCTCTCTTCTCCTCCAGCATTTAGAATAATACCTCTTTATTTTTCCTATAGTTTACTAATTTTTCTCTTCAGTTGCATGTTATCTGCTGTTTATTCCATCAGTTAAACTTTCCATTTTAGCTATATTTTCTATTTAGTTTTAAATTTTACATACTTGTTTGGAACTAGAGAGATAGTCCAGGAGCTAAGGCTTGGACTATCTCTTGGACTTACCTCGCATATGACCCCTTAATACCACCTAAAGCACAGAGCCAGAAGTAGTTTCCCAGTATTGCTGAGTGTTACCCAGAAAACTAAATAAATTCAATAATTAAATAAAATTTACCAGGTCAATTATTTTTTCAGGGAGAAGTCCTTTGATCAGTGGTTAGCAGGGGGAGGGAAGGATGGTGGCAGTAATCCCTATAAAAAAAAAAACTTAAATTGATGAAAATAAAATGAGTTCAGCATTTCTTTAATCTCCGTGGCTTTTTAATAACACATTTCATTCACTATTATTTGGTTGGCTCTTATACATCTATTGAAGTTGAGAATTTGGCTTTTACCATCTTTCCCCTTTGCCTAACTAATATAGTGTTCTATGCCTTCATTATTGCCTCAATCAATGCTCGCTGTTTTTATTATTCTAAGTAAATATTGTCCACTGTGGGGTCAACTGGAATACTCCATGTTCTACTGGGGAATATTTTATTCTTCATGCAAGCAATCTTTTTCTAATGCCTTTGCTGATTGAGTTTCCTATATATTTTACCTTCACACACCTCTTTTTTACATTACATAAACCATCCATCCTTTTTTGCTCTCCCCTTAAGATCTCACTCAGAATCCAGCCTCCTCTTGAGTATGAACATGTGTTTAGACCTGCTACATGCAGTCACTGACTCTGAGACCTCAGTACATTTTCTAACCCCAAACCTTCCTCTTCTCCCTTTTCCCCACTAGGGGCATCCTGATAAAGAGTACAAAGAAAGTAAAATTTCAAAACCTTTTATGTCTAAAAATACTTTTTATCACACTCCATTGTGATGAATTGGTTGTCTGAGTACAGCATTTCAGGTTGTGCATTTTTTTTTTGAGGGGCACTTTTTGAAGGCATTCTCCGCTAGAACTGCGCTTGGGCTTGGGGGCTGGTGAGAAATCCAGTGCTGTAGTGATCGCCCCCTTGCGGGAGATGTACTACATTTTCTTTTTTTTTTTTCTTTCTTTCTTTCTTTTTTATTTTATTTTATCTTTTTATTCAATCACTGTGAGTACAGTTACAAAGCTTTCATGATTGCATTTCAGTCATACAATAATCGAACACCCATCCCTCCACCAGTGAACATTTTCCACCACCAATGTTCCCAGTATCTTTCCTGCCTCTCCCCCCCCCGCCCCCCCCCCCCCCCCCCGTCCCCCGTCCCCTACCCCCTGTCTCTATGGCAGGCACCTTCCTTCTTACTCTCTCTCTACTTTGAGGCATTATAGTTTGCAGTACAGATACTGAGAGGCCATTATGTTTGGTCCTTAGTCTACTTTCAGCACACATCTCCCATCCTGAGCGATTCCTCCAACCATCATTGACTTAGTTTTCTTTTGAAACTCCAAGGGCTCTCTTTTCTCCAGGGATTTTTTGAAATATTCAGCACACAGGTCTTGCTGTGGTTCTTTCTCATTTATGATGCATAGTTATTGGTGATCTCTTTCCATGTAGAAACTCGACCCTTCACAATAGCACTATGGAAATATGTTCAGAAGATAAATTCTTCCTCATTTCTTCCTTCTCTCTTTCTGGGAGTTCCACTTAAGGTTGTTTTACTTTGGCCAAGGATCCAATTAATGTTCTCACATACCATATTTCCCCTTTGTTCTACTATTAAGAAATATTATTTTAGTTTATTTTCCAACACTTTTGTCGAAGTTTCATTTGGAGATTTAATTTTTCATTTTATGAGCTCCTACTGGTGCTTTGCTGTTCAATTTTATGGTATTTTGTTCTTGTCCAAAATGTGCTGTCTTTTTGTTACTTTTAAGTACATTAGTTATAGCTTATTTTTTGTTGTGTTAGTTATGGGGAATTACTAAAGTAATACACTGGAGATCAGGGCTGCCTTATGGTGAAGGGGGCAGATCTCACAAGTCAAAGCAAATGTTCTGCCATTTGAGTCATCTTGTCAATCCTCATAGCTTTTTCTTTAAAGTTTTTGTTGTCTTGGTTTGCTTTATTTCCTCTATTTTTCCTTCTTTTGTTATCCCGACTGCTGTATTAGACCATTGCCTTACATTTGTCTTTCGTGGTGAGAATTGTTTAAAGTAAAATTATCTTTTTTAAATTGATCTTCATTGAAATTCTATTGATCTTCAAGAGGAAGGTCTTAAATATTTGGAGACTCTGTTTGTAAGTGCATTTCATTCCAGAATATTTGGGTAGTAAACTTCTTGTTGTGGGAAATACTCAACAATCTGTATCTGGAGGTCCTTTTCTCTATAATTCTTCATCTTCCCTAGAGAAAGACCCAGTGCAAAATAGAAACATGGGACTCTTTGTTCAGAAGTCAGGAAAAATTTAGCCAGAGATACTAGAACAACCAGAGATGCTAAAACAAATATTTTTGATATTTTATTATTTATAGTATATAATAGAAATAGGAGTGATATATACACAATAGCATAAACATACAGCTTTCAAAATCTAATGTTTTGATAACATAATTTTGTGTAATACAAGAAATTATATGGTTTTAGTTGCCTGGTTTTTTGATTACTCAACAGATCTTTCTGGCTTGCTTTTCTGCAAATTCATGGGTTAGGTCATAAAAAAAATTTATTTTTAGCAATTTCATTTTCAATCAATATAATGGAAAATGATGGATGACAGTCATTCTTGGCAAATAGGAGGTATCAAATAATAGCAAATGGAGAGGGCAACAAGAACAAAGATAAAAGGGAGATGGAGAGAATTCAAATGAAATAATGTGTAAGTCAGGTAGATATCAGGCAAAAAAGCAGTATCTAGCTTATAGCAGATGGATTTTTAAACAAGAAGAGTGTAGAAAGGAAAGAAATACTATACTATTGATAAAAACATTACATATTTAACTATCATTTAATAGCCTTACAATAGTACAAGTAACATCTCCATCTCAGAAAAGAAACATTAAGACTTAGAATGAATTTTGCATTGACCATACAATAAGATGATGGTGGACCTGATACATAATTACTGATACATCTGATTCAAGAGCCCAAGTTCTTTCAATGTGTGGGTGATATTCTGTATCAGGAAAATACCTTGAAGTCCACTCACCTACTGACCATTATGAAAAGAAGAAGACTCGAAACCAGAAATCAAATCAAGATTCTAATAATTTAGCTATAATAAAGAAGTAGTGACAAAGAAAAGAGAAAGTTTTCAAGAAACACTTCAAAAAGAGAGATCTCCCCAGACCTAGTGATTTACTGGATGTGCCCTGGTACAAAATGACCACCATTGAAGATTTCTTAGTAACTCTAAGCAAAACTTAGGATAATTCCACCAACAACTAATGAACAAAGATGAGAATTTTGACAATGAAGTGTGATGTGCTGAGTTGGAAGTCATGACAGAAATGTCTGGTGTTCCCCAAAAGATATGGGCCTAAAATGGCAAAGCAGCCAGTGCTACTGATATATGTTTAGTAACCATTCACATAGAGCCAGTTTGCCTAGAGAAAATGCCATAGGAAAGGACAGTTAAATAAAGGAAAATAAGAAAACTAAGACACCAAGCACAAAACAGGAATGACAAATTAGATCCAGAAGCTCCAAATAGAAGAAAGAGAAGTCACAAGAAAGGGAAAAATATTCTTAGAAAGTAATCATGTACAGATCAGTAAGACTGGGGGATCAACATTGATTGTACCCAAAAGAAGTTGAAGGATGTATATGAGAAGGATTGAATGATAGATGAAGGTTAATGACCAATCTTTGAGAGATTAATTTCAGTAAAGTATTAGAAACAAAATTTAGAAATAAGTAGGAAATGCAAAGTGGAAGAACTAAAAGAAAGGGTTTTTTTCCTAGAAACATTAAAAGAAATGTAAAAGTAAAAGAAATGTCTAAATAGGGAAAATATGCAAAGTCTAGTGCCTTCTTTTTCAGATGAGGAAACTGAAGCCCCAAGTGGTTAACCAACCCCTTCACTTAACCTAACTAGCAACAGAGTTCAGACCCCAAAAGTCAGTAAAGATGAAATGGCTATTCAAAAGGGATATCAATCAAGGGAAAAGTTTCCACCTCCAAAGAAGAGTCCATTTGATTCGTTCATTTTGCCTTCGGACCTGGTATCTTTCTTTCTACCACCATAACTCCATGGCCTTGAAATCATTTTCAACCTATGGGAAGTAAAGATCACAGAATCCAGAGAAAGCAACCCTTGTGGTACTTTACCTACCGGAGTAACTGCAGTGCTGTTGATTTGAGCTAGGGGAAGAGAAATTTGTCTATCAACTTTTTTATTCTTATAGGAATTCTATAGTCCTAAAGTCTGGAAGACAGGAAAGATGACTCATACTGCCTTTGAAAGACATCACTATAATAATCTTGATAATAGTCCTCCCTGTCCCGTTTCGGAGATAATAAATAACCCCAAGGTAACTATCCACCTACAGAAATGGACCCAGTGAAGACATTCATTAAGGGGAAAAAAATCACCCAATTATGAATAATTCATGATGAGCTGGCAAACATCATTTTGCTATGGGTAGCACAGTTGTCAAGAAACACCCTAATAATGTGTATATAAAGACAAACCCAACTGTCGGAGCAGGACACTTGCCACCAGCGCTCCACTCCAAAAACGATCGCTCCAGTCCGGACACCATGTCTGTGCGTTTCTCTTCTGCTTCCAGACGCCGTGGCTCTTGCAGCGGGGCTGGCTCTGTGCGCCTCTCCAGCACCGGCGCCAGCTTTGGGGCTGGAAACGCCTGTGGGGTGCCAGGCATTGGAAGTGGCTTCTCATGTGCCTTTGGGAGCAGCTCGTCTGCAGGAGGCCTGGGTGGGGGAAGTGCTTCCTACGCCGCCTTTGCCGGGAATGAGCACGGCCTCCTCTCTGGCAATGAAAAGGTGACCATGCAGAACCTCAATGACCGCTTGGCCTCCTACCTGGAGAACGTGCGAGCGCTGGAGGAGGCCAACGCTGACCTGGAGCAGAAGATCAAGGGGTGGTATGAGAAATTTGGGCCTGGTTCTTGCCGCGGTCTTGATCACGATTACAGCAGATATTTCCCAATAATTGATGACCTTAAGAACCAGGTAAGAAACACAACCTCACGAAATTTACTACCCAAGCAAGGATTTAGTCATTAATGTTCACTCAACATAAAGACAATCACAGTGCTAGGGATCGGCTTCTTGTTGAGGTTATCTAATTCTTAATATTAAACATAATTACATAAAAATTCCAATTGTTGAACATGGTGCACCCATCATTTGATATTAGGTGATATCATTTCTACTTTGTTTTTATTACCATTCTGATAGAGAAGAAAGTTATATTTCATGCTTTCAAACAGTATGAAAAGCTGAGAAAACTTGAAAATTGCATGATGTTCAGAAATTTACAAGTAGACAGATGATGTTGTTTATCTTTTGTATACTTAAGTTTCTTGAATATTATATCAAAAGTTGCTGAATTTTTCTAGCTGTATGTTTATATGCTTCCTAGAAATATATATTTTTATGAATACAGTACATTTTCAAAAGAATCACCTTATTTGGGTAAAGACAGTGCCACAAAAATTACTGTGATCTCCTAAGTGGCTTTATTTCAAGGTTACTTGGGAGTAAATTAACATCCTCCCCTTTCTCTTGTGTAACTTATTTTTTTATAATTCATTTTCCCTCATTTTCTTTCTCTTAACTCTCCATTTCTCAGATAATCTCTGCAACTACAAGCAACGCCAATGTGGTCCTGCAAAATGATAATGCAAGACTAACGGCTGATGACTTCAAGCTAAAGTAAGTAGAATGAAGACAAGACCAGAATATTTTCTAATAGTTCTCTCTTGGGAGTGGCTATAAGACATCAGTTGAATGATCTTTTTATCTATTTTTCACCAAATGTAGATTAGACTGTATGGCTGAACTTTTTTGGTAGAGAAGGAGTTATGGGGATGGGAAGTTGAGACCGCTGGCTGTGCTCAGGGCTTGCTCCTGGTTCTGCATTCAGAGAACATTCCTGGCACAATCGGGGAACCATATGGCGTGCCAAGGGTTGAACCTGGGTCAGCCTCGTGCCAAGCAAGCACCTTATCCATTGTACTGTCTCTCTGGCCCTGAATCCATATTTTATTTGGGAAAATGGATAATTAGAATAAATGGACATCAAGATCATCTAAAGGAGAATGTTACCCCCACCCTATAGTTTCAAAGAAATGCATCAATGGTTTTAACTGATATTTTAGGTGTATGTTAGCAGTATGAGCCCCAAAATGAGTTTGAACTTAAAGGGGATAGGGATCATGGATGTCACGCTGACATGTTTCCTAAGGTATGAAAATGAGCTGACCCTTCACCAGAGCGTGGAGGCCGACGTGAACAGCCTGCGCAGGGTGCTGGATGAGCTGACCCTGTGCAGAACAGACCTGGAAATCCAGGTGGAAACTCTGGGCGAGGAGCTAGCTTACCTCAAGAAGAACCACGAGGAGGTAGGCCCCTGCCCTCATCCTCTACTTTTCAGTAATTTCACATAAGAAATAGGGTGGTTTTTCACATCCTTCTTCAAGGTACTTGTCAATCGCCTGAGATGGCTTTTTGAAAGCTTCTTTCTATGCATTCCTTTGGGGAAAAGCTCATCTTTTAATTTAAGTGTCTAGCTGATGGATCATGACTGTCTGGCTCCTTTGAAATATTGCCATTCTAATTCCAGGAGGTTAGCTCCATATATCTATATGTAAATAGGTGTCGCCACCTCCATATTAAAAGAGAGAGAGAGGAAAGGAAGGAGAGACAGAGACAGAGACAAAGAGAACCCATATATGGGATTAAAAAGAAACATATTAAGGAACTACAACTGGTCAGTCATCAGAACTAAAGATTTTGTCTATAGAACTGAACTAAAATGGGGATCAGGGTGGTGGTAGGGGTCCTTGGGACACTGGTGGGGGAATGTGGGCATTTTGATGTGAGTGTGATATTGGATTGATGTATGCGTGAAAAGTATGATAGATGAAGGGTTTTGTACATCCCCATACGGCCATAAAAATAGTTTTCAAGAAAAGGAAAGAAAATATTGCCTTCCTAACCAAGTTCTACACGTCTCTCAGGAGATGAAGGCGCTGCAGTGCGCGGCGGGGGGCAACGTGAACGTGGAGATGAACGCGGCGCCCGGCGTGGACCTCACGGTGCTGCTCAACAACATGCGCGCCGAGTACGAGGACCTGGCGGAGCAGAACCGCAGGGACGCCGAAGCGTGGTTCAACGAGAAGGTACACAAGCATGCCAGGGCGTCCTTGCCTGGGACTGGCCCCTGGTGCCGCTGGCTTTCCCCTGACGCCCACCCATCCGTGACCTTTCAGAGCGCAACGCTGCAGCAGCAGATCTCTGACGACGCTGGGGCCACCACCTCCGCCCGCAATGAGCTCACTGAGATGAAACGGACTCTGCAAACCCTGGAGATCGAACTTCAGTCCCTTTTAGCAATGGTAAGTAGAGCGTGATGGTACAGCAAGTACCTTCCTTGTACGCGGCAGACCTGGGTTTGATTCCCAGCGCTCCGTACGGCTCCCTGAGCATTACCAGGTGTGCCTCCCCTTAAAAAAAAAAAAAAAAGAAGAAGAAGAAGAAGAAGAACATTGAGGCAAGGGTTGGGGGTGAGGGGAAAGGGGAGAGTTTTTTCTTCATTTATTTTAGCTTTTATCTATTAATCATGATATTCGAAATAGGAGACCAGTAGAATCCTCTTTAACTGGAAATTATACTAAAATGCTAATAACTGTGAAACATGAGAAATTAACAAGTATAATTATATATTGAGAAAGACCCAAAAAAAATCTGTTTCACCCTAAACTTCTTCCCAAGTCAAAAGATCAAAATCTACTTGTCTATGCAATGCAAAACTCCTAGCTTCTTTAACTGGCATTTCTTTTGACCACTTAAGATTTACATGTTCCCTTAACAAGGCATAACAATAAGCAGACTTGAAGGCAATCATGTGCTGATAAGAGCACCCTTTTCATTAAGGGTTTATACGACCCTTTCACCCTCATGAATCCCAGAGAACCCTAAGGCAAGAACCTGGCAGACTTCAGAGCTCTTGTTATCTCCAAAAGAAGATGCAAAGATGTTAAGGAGTTTTCCCTGAGTCCCACGGTTCGAGTGCTAATGCATCAGAACTTCTCTCCAAACCTACTCCCATGAAGGGCAGTAACCTCTCCAGCTTATCACAAAGGAGGCTACAAATGAATATAAAGTTAGAACTTTAATAAAGTTCCTTGCAGGTTAAAGGATAAGATATTACCATGTACATTCCAGGCAAATTTTTAGTAAGCATCCCTCTGTGGGATAAGTCTATCTAAACCCATCTGGAATTGTAAGCCAATGAGTTGATTGATTTGATGTCTAAATGGCTCATTCTTTTCTCTGTCTCATTTGACTTCTGTAAAGTGTTTACAGATGATCACGGAATTCCTTTTTAATAGAAGAGAGTCTATTCTGTTTAAAATAATTCTTATCATTTTAAACAGAAAAGTGTAGCAAAGTGGCAATCCTCATTATTTGAAACATAGCAAAGTCTCTCCTACAACTTGAAACATAGAAAAGTGTAGAAGGCAAGTAGAGAATTTTTAGAGAAAAAAATGGTGAATTGTGCCAAATGTTATAAGTACAGGCTACACTGGTGTGAGGGACGTTCTTTAAACAGGGCCTTATGAAGAATAACTATCTTTGCTAACACAGCTTGGGATATAAAACTTTCACTATCACTACATTTATTCCCAAACAGAAAAATAGTAATACATATAATTTTTTTAAATGCACTGAATGTCAAACAAGTGGAATTTTTTCAAATGGATATGGTTGTTTGCCTAACGTAGGAATAACTCAGCTACTTCCTAAGTGCTTTATTCAAACTCAATCCTTTTTTTGACTGGAACATCTCTGTGTTTTAACTGAGCTATGTCTTACTGACCCACAGAAACACTCTCTGGAGTGCTCCCTCACCGAGACCGAGGGCAACTACTGCACGCAGCTGGCCCAGATCCAGGCGCAGATCGGGGCCTTGGAAGAGCAGCTGCACCAGGTCAGGACTGAGATGGAAGGCCAGAAGCTGGAGTATGACCAATTGTTGGACATCAAAGTTCACTTGGAAAAAGAAATTGAAACCTACTGCCATCTGATAGATGGAGAGGATGGGTAAATATTTCTCCTGTTTAAAAAAAAACTATTTCTTTAAAGGTCATTAAAGATTTTTTGAAGTCAAGTTCAAAGTATCAATGACCTACATCATATGTGATGTCTGGCTTTAAGAAACAAATGAGGAGCCTGAGAGGTAGTATAGTGGGTATGGCGCTTGCCTTACATGTGCCCAACCCAGGTTTGATTCCAGGCATCCCATCGGGGCCCCTGAGCACCACCAGGAGTAATTCCTGAGTGCAGAACCAGGAGTAACTCCTGAGTGTCCCCAGGTATGCATCCCCCCAAAAAATTAAAATGAAGAAATGAACTCCCATCTTTAGTCATTGTCTTTCAGTTTCTCCTTTAAAAAATCAGAAATAATTAATACAACTCTCTATTTTTACAGCTCTTGTGTCAAATCTAAAGGCTATGGAGGACCAGGAAATCAGATAAAAGGTGAGTAAGAGCTGTCCTAAGCAGTTGTTGTTTATTTCTATGTTTCAGATGATGAGTTCATTGTTTCCCATTTCTGAATTTGATCCACGTTAACAGTTCCTATGTGTTATTTTAGATTCGCCTAAAACCGCCATGGTTAAAACAATTGTTGAAGAAATAGATCCTCGTGGCAAAGTTCTCTCTGCCAGAGTCCACACTTTGGAAGAGAAATCCACCAAAGTCAACAATGTGAAGAGTGAACAGAGGGTGCCTTCTTGAATTCCGAAAGAACAGGCCCTAAAAAGAGACCAAGTTGAAGCTCAATTCTTAAATGAGGATCCTTTTTTTTTTTCCTGCCTCTCTTCAATAAACGAAGACAAGCTACATTAGAATAGCAGTATTTCTCTGGTTTTCTCTATTGTGGTGTTTCAATAAAGGTTATTCTTCCTGTTGCAAATTAACCTCTGGTTCTGGTCAATCTTTGCATTTCAACTATAAACTCCCCACACCACACCCGAAGGAAGGTAAATTATGTTTTTAATTTATTCTTTTAATTCAATGGTCTTTACAAGGACTTTTTAGGACTAAGCTTAATAGGCAAGGCAGTTGAAATCTTTTTCATATCTCTGTAAAATTTTAAATATTCCTTTCTTCAGTTACTACATACATAAAGTACTGGTAATGAGAGTAAAACTGTTATTAAAAGATTTGCATGCCCATCAGAGAGTAAAAAAGGAAGAATCTGAAACATCCTAATTATAAAAAAAAATCTATGATGATGCTTAAAGGTAGAGTGGGAAAGAGAAAGATGTGAATTTTAAAGAGGGTACATGAAAAATTCCATAATGTTAGGCTACAGATCAAGTCTTAATAAATTTAAGATGGTTGAGATTATATCTGCTCATTTTTCTGGTTACAATAGCACATAACCAAAAATCAATAATAGAAGGAAAAAAACTTAAATATGAAGAAATTAAGCAATACACTCCTGAACAACTAATGGATCAAATAAGTCAGAAGGATAAAAAATCTTGACACACTCTACTAAGGCTAACTATATAGTTTAACGTCTTGGAAATTTCCCCACCCCCATCCAGAAACAAATCCTGTTCCTTTACAATATCCTTAGGTTTGGAAGAATATAAAATTAGGCAAGTTATTTTGTACATTCATGCTCCCAGGCCTTCTCTCCTAGCCTCTGTTCTAATTGCTAACTTCCTGGGAATAAATATTCACAAATTTCATTCTTTGCATTTTCTCCCCCTTTTAAAATATGTCAGATTTGAAATAAACATACATTGCACAAAAAAAAGTCTTGACACAAAATAAAATATAAGACATCAAAGCTTACAGAATGCAGAAATAGAAGGAACCAAGCAGTCCTGAGAGGGGAACTTCACAGTTCTAAGTTCCGGCATTAAGAAGATTAAAAGCAAATAATCTAATCTTTACCAAGGACTTGAAAAAGAATAAACTTAGCCCAAAGTTAGCAGAATGTAGAAAATAATAATATATATCAAAAATGAAAGACTACTAACATTAATACTAAAAAATATTAGCCAAAGTAAATCTTTTGGGAAGATTTATTTTATGGCTTAGCTAGATGAACCAAGGAAAATGTGAGATAGGACTCAAAGCAAGTTAAATTACAAATAAAAATGAAATATTACAAGTGATGCCAGAAATGCAGTTTCAGAATACTGCATATATTGAATAATCTAGAATAAACAGATAATTTCCTAGAAACATACAATCTGCCAAAATTGGATTACCTTGAAATAGAAAATTCCAATGAAACAATAAGGACTAAGGAGACTGAATCAGTAATCAAACCTCTCTCCAAAGAGAAGCCGAGACCACATGATTCCCCTGGCAAGTTCTACCACTTAGGAGGAATTAACTACAATCCTTTTCAAGCTTCAAGATTTTTTAAATAGTAGATACACGTTCAAATTTAGTTTTGAAGATAGCATTGCTCTGATACTAACATTAGACAGATAGTATAATAAAATTTATAAATCAATATCGGTAATGTATATATATATGCAAAACTCCTCATGAAATCTACAAACCAAATTAATAGCAAATTAAAGGAAATATACATATCAATAAATGCTAAAACAAAATGAATATAAATGAGAATAAAGACCACATTTCTTAGAGAAGACAAAGAGGTGGCCAGTGAGTATATGAAAAGGTGTTAATCATCACTTGTATTCAGAGAAATGTAAACCAAAATGACAATGAGATACAACTTCATACAAGTGACAATGGTATATTGAGAGATAGATAGATAGATAGATAGATAGATAGATAGATAGATAGATAGCACTGTAGCACTGTCCACTGTATCACTGTCCTCCCATTGTTCATTGATTTGCTTGAGTGGGTCCAGTAACATCTCCATTGTGAGACTTGTTACTGTGTTTGTCACGTCACAGGGAGCTTGCCAGGTTTTGCCGTGCGGGCGGGATACTCTCAGTAGCTTGCCGGGCTCTCCGAGAGGGGCAGAAGAATCAAACCCAGGTCGCCAAGTCAGCTGCGTGCAAGGCAAACGGCCTACCTGCTGTGCGCTCCACCCTAAATATACATACATATTTTTAAGATCAGAAACAGTGTTGACAAAAATGTGGAGGGAAAGTAAATAACCTAATCTTCTCTACTAAGTAGTTGAAAAAGAACAAACTAAGCCCAAAGTTAACAGAAGGAACAAAATAATAAATAACAAAAATAGAAATAGATGAAAATTTGTTTACCTCACCCATTGCTGATGGGAGTGCCCACTAGCAGTGGATGGTTTAGCCTCAACAGAAAACAGTATAAAGACTACTCAAAAATAAGAAATAAAACTCCTGTATGGTCTAGTATTTTCGATCCTTGGTATCTATCCCAAGAACACATACACACACATTAATTTGCATTAATTTGAAAGGATATACACATAGCTATGTTTATCATATCACTGTATGTAATAGCCAAGAAATGAAAATAATCCAAGTGTACAACAACATCTGAGTGGGTTTTTTAAGTTATATATATATATGTGTATATATATATAATGGAATGTTATTCAGTTATTAGGAAAGATGAAATCTTGCTCTTTGCTACCACTTAGATGAAGCTAGAGGGGAGTCATGTTAAACAAAATTAATCAGAGGGAGGACAAATTTGGATGATCTCCCTCATTTGTGGTATATACAGAAACAAAGGAAAGAAATGGACAGTATCTAATGGACAACAACCCCTTGGACTTTGAGTACAGAACTGAAGTTACCAAATGTGAGGTATGGAGAGAAAAAGACAGACTTGAAGTAAGACCAGGAGTGCGGTAGGGGGTCTTGGATAAGATGGTGGAGCAGCAAACTAAGCCCAAAGTTAACAGAAGGAATAAAAAAAGACAGACTTGAAGTAAGACCAGGAGTGCGGTAGGGGGTCTTGGATAAGATGGTGGAGCAGTAATTTTGAACAACATAAGCATGAACATAAACACTATTATAGCCACATTATCTCAGCTACAATTAAAAATTAAGATCATCATTATCAGATCAATAGATGCAGAAAAGGAATTTGATGAAATTCAAGCTCTTTCATGTTAAAAAAAAAAAAGGAAAAGAAAACTCAACAAAATACTTACAGCTTTTCACAAAGATTACATCAAAAGCAAAGAAGGAAGCCCCCTGATGAAATAAAAAAAAAAAAAGCTTTGAGCCTCACGGGATGGGGGTGGAGTCAGCCCTTTCCTTCCAGTTCCAATGAGACCCTGAGTTGCCACCCACAAACAGCCTCTCTGACTCCTGATCAAGCTGCCAAATGACCATGATCCCAGAGACTCGGGAACAAATCTCGGAACCCAGCAGGTTTTGGCAGAAATCCCTCCAGATTTAAGTGTTAAAATTTCAGAATTCCAAAATTGTGCGGTCACTGCTGCAGATGCGCAACATCATATGTTATTCATAACCAGCAGTAGAAAACAAATTGTCTGCTGTTGCCTTTTTGGCATGTCTGAGTGTTGGGGCAAAATCCCAAATAATAATGGTGGGTCAGGTGTCAAAATATTGAATGTAATCAAAGTAGTGAGAGAGTAATGTGGAAATCATCTGCCCCACAGGTAGGGGGAGGGTATGGGATGGGGGTATACTGGGGGTTTTGGTGGTGGAGAATGGGCACTGATGAGGGTATAGTTGTTTCATTGTATGACCAAGACTTAAACCCAAAAGCTTTGTAGCTGCTCTCACATTGATTCAATAAATAAAATTATAAAAAATGAAAAAAAAAAGCTTTGAAAGCCAAAAAATTAGTGCTGAAATTCATCTACAGTCATACACACACATACACACACACACACACACAGAAGACCCACACTTCGCCCACCTCTGATGACACAGACTCTGAGAAGGCAGCCACATACCCTCAGAAGAGAACCTCCAGAAGAAGCCAGCTTGACACTTGGCCTGACAATAGGCCACTACGGAGTTCTTTTTAACCACTGAGTCAACCAGGAAGAAGGGCAATAACAATAGGACATTTGTGATCATTGTGGATATCAAGGCCAACAAGTACCAACCAGATCAAACAGGCTGTGGAAAAGCTCTATGATGTTGAGGTGGCCAAGGTCAATCCCCTATTCAGACCTGATGGAGAGACGAAGACATGTCTTCAGCTGACTCCTGACTGTAATGCTTTGGATGTTGCCAATAAAATTAGGATCGTCTAAATTGAGTCCAACTGGCTAATTATAAATATACATTTTTCCACCATAAAAATTAAACATAGAAGTAATGTCCCTCCTTAACAAAGGCTATATATGACAATCCCACAATTAATCTCATGCTCAATTGTAAAAGACTTTATATTAAAAACAAAAATCAAAAACTCTTAGAATGAGTAATGAATGATTAGCTAAGCAATCAATGAATGAGGTTGCAGGATAAATATTAATGTTATAAAGATAGCTATGGCGCATATGCTGCCCAAGCCCATGTGCTGCTTGCACCCACGTGGCCAAGCACATGTGGTACCTGATCATATGTGGTGCCCACATCTCCCCTCTTGAGATGTGTACTTTCATGCTTTCATGTCTATTGCCGGGGTATGTGTAGGGGCTCTCTCCGCCCTTGGAGAAGCCCATGTTCTTTCTTTCTATCTCTCTATCTCTCTATCTATCTCCCTTTCTCTCTCTCCCCTTCAAAAACCCTCCAAATAAAATCTGTTTTACTTAACAAAAAAAAGATAGCTATATTCCCATATTCTAATAACAAATGATCCAAAAAGAAAAATTA